GATGGTCCATTTCAATTTATACTTCCACCAGCAGATTTGACAGTTTATAGAAACGTGTTTGACCCTCAAAATGTTATGTGTCATGCAAGTTTCAGTTCAAGCAACAATAGTTTTCTATGTATTGGTAAGGACTTTTATGACTTTGCTTCTAAATTCTACGAACCACCTAGTAACAGTTTCTCTGACTTTCAAGTTTGGTTCACAACAAATGGTGTGCAACATATTATTCCATTGTACTATGACTTTTATCTCGAATTGTCTTTCATATATAACTACGGAAAAGTGCTGAAAAAGTATTGAAAAATAATGTTTAGGTGAAGAGGTGAGATCTCACCTCTTTTTTCACCTTTTTTCTCACCCTCTTGAATTTTCATGAAAACAATACTTGTACTGCTTCAGAACAATACTTGTACTTTTTCAGAACAATACTTGTACTTTTTCAGAACAAGACTTGTACTTTTTCAGAACAAATTTCCCGTAAAAGCTCTCAATTTGTGAGAAAAATTTTCTGTTTCAGAACAATACTTGTACTGTTTCAAGTACCAACCACCCAAAACCTCTTGAATTTTCATGACTTCTTCGAAAATGTTTTGTCGAAACTTCTTCGTAATGAGCTTAAATCAGACAAAAATATATTTTAGGTGAAGAGGTGAGATCTCACCTGTTTTCTCACCTCTTTTTTCACCTCTTGAATTTTCATGACTTCTTCGTAAATGTTTTGTCGAAACTTCTTCGTACATGTTTTGTCAAGACTTCTTCGAAAATGTTTTGTCGAAACTTCTTCGTAAATGTTTTGTCATGACTTCTTCGTAATGAGCGTAAAGGACCCAAAAATAATGTTTAGGTGAAGAGGTGAGATCTCACCTGTTTTCTCACCTCTTTTTTCACCTCTTGAATTTTCATGAATTTTCCCGAAATAAAAAATAAAGTTAGTTTTATTTTTTTATTTTTTTTTATTTTGTATAAAAGATATGATTTCAACAATCGGCACAACAACAATTCAAACAACAACTTCACCAAACTCTTTAGTTATGAATCCTACGTCAATGTTAGTAGAGATGAAAAGCTTCATTCCTTCTTCATATACTTTCGAAACAAAAATCCAGAAGATAAAGCAGGAACTTTTAACATGTAATTTAGACTGTAGTGCGAAAGATGAAACAAATGAACAGTATCTTTATGAAATGCAGGACATTATTGACCATTTACCCAAATTGCCTGAAATTCAGCAACAAAAACTCACTATTCCTGAATTCGACGAAATTGAAGTCAAAGCAACTGACTCAGTAGAAATAAAGAAGTTCATACGAAAGGTAAACTATGAGTTTCTAGGATTTCATTGCAATCATAAAGTTATGGACAAAGATTGCGACATGGTATATAAGAATGTTTCTGACATATATAAATCTGAAGAATTTAAGACCTACGACAACTTTGTTTCGTTAGTTGCTGAATGTGTATGGCAGATAAGAGATAAAGATAGAAGAGGTAAGGTATGGAATGAACAGATAAGACCCGCTATGTTTGAGATGAAGAGAGCAATTGACGCCTTAGTTGTTCTAGCAGGTCAAATTTCAATGTATAACGCAAAAATGAACCCGCAATGTTCAAAATGTAAAGCAGCAATGAGGAAATATAACTACTCCGTCAAAGAGATAGAACGTATGAGAAACGACTATGCAGACTTAAAGAAAGAAGCAGAAAAGCCAGCAGAAGATAAAATGGACATGTTAGAATTTCTGAACAAAAACTATCCAACAGCAGAAGATTTCCTTCTATCTGACGTCAAGAAGAAGTATAAAGAAACTTTCGGTATCGTTAAAACTTTTGACATACTGACAGAAGAAATAGAAGCTACGAAATTGTTTAGGATTTCAAATATACATCGTACAATTCATGTAAAACGCTTATAAAATAACTGAGGTGAGAAAACAGGTGAGAAAACGGGTGAGATCTCACCTCTTCACCTAAAATATATTTTTGCTGAATTCAGCACAAAATTCTGAGTAAAATAATTTTTAGGGCATGTGTCAAACCGTTGAGTTTTCACAAAATTCCAAAAATAACGTTTACCATGTAAAACGCTTATAAAATAACTGAGGTGAAAAAACAGGTGAAAAAACGGGTGAGATCTCACCTCTTCACCTAAACATTATTTTTGTCTGATTTACGCTCATTACGATGAAGAAGTCTTGACAAAACATATACGTTCATGTTTGACAAAACATGTACGAAGAAGTCTTGACAAAACATGTACGAAGAAGTCTTGACAAAACATGTACGAAGAAGTCTTGACAAAACATATACGAAGAAATCATGAAAATTCAAGAGGGTAGAAAAGAGGGTAGAAAGGAGGTTAGATCTAACCTTCTACCCTAAAATATATTTTTGCTGAAAAAAATGACCAAATTTCATTATATAACTGTTATTTTTTTACGAAGAGAACTTTTGCACTTCGTCAAAAAAATCCCTGAAATCATATCTTTTATACAAGATAGAAAATCTTACTCGCCTAAAACTCATGAAAATCGTAAAAAATTGCGACCCAGACTTTTTTCGGGGTCGCCTAAAACTCATGAAAATCGTAAAAAATTGCGAGTAGGTAAGAAACCCTGGTCGCCTAAAACTCATGAAAATCGTAAAAAATTGCGAGTAGGTAAGAAACCCTGGTCGCCTAAAACTCATGAAAATCGTGAATTTCCTTAAGATAGAAAAAATAAAGTTAGTTTTATTTTTATTTATTTTTTTATCCGGAATATAAAGACAGATATGTCAACAACCGAGAACACAACAACAGTTATAGTCCATGAAGCCATAAATGAAGAATACGAGTACATACAGTTTAACAAACAACTCCGTCTCATTCGTTCGGTCAAAGACGATATGTACCAAATGCAAAGTATTTTGACAGCATGTTTTGCTCCAGATACCAAACATACAGACGATTGGTTCAAAAACCAAAGCACACAAGAACTTTTGAGCGAAGCACAGCGAGACCGACTTTTTTCGGGGTCGCCTAAAACTCATGAAAATCGTAAAAATTTGCCAAATGGTTTGAGAGGTTGGTATGTACATAGACTTCTTGTAAATGCTGTTGCAATGTGGGCTTCGCCTCGTTATGCTTGGTATATTTACAGACTTCTTGACGAAATTCATAGACAAGAACGTGAAGAGATGGAAAAGAAACTTCAAGCAAAAAATGAAGTCATTGAAGCAAAAGACAAAAGCATTCAGAAAAGAATACCACGTTCGGTACCAAAAGGTAAGGAAAAGAACTATAAGTATATGATTTATACTGAAGAGATGGAAAATGAAGAAGATAAAGATATGGTTATGTTGCATTTAGTCAGAAGAAACAACAAAAGCTTTTACGACCTTGCTAAGATTTACAAATCTGACAGAAATTGGTTCTATCGCGAAAACTTACCGATTTCAATGACACCGAATGAAGATGTGAAACAAATAGTTCAAGATACGTTACCTCAAACACACTATGATATGAAAGGTTGTACAATACTTACATTCAAAGAAGATTTGCCATTGTTAAAGGAAAAAATAACAGAGTATTTTGACAACTTCAAACAAGCAGAGTAAATGAACCATTTATTTTTCAAGCTTGACTTTTTACAATTTGAACTTTGTTTGCGTAGATATGAATTCTGAAAGAAGTATGAGGGTCTTGTATGACTTTATACTTCTCCCAGAGTTCATATCTGTCAAACTTACCTGCCATGGACTCTTTCATAAGTTCCATGAAATCGTCTTCGGACAATCCGGGGAAAAGTATTATGTCAGTAAGTATTCTTTTAACATCCTTACTTAAACTCTTTGCTGTCTGTACACATATTACGACTGAAATGTTAAAGTGCCTAAGTTTCTTAAGAATTCGACACATATCTTGTTCTCTATTCTTTAACAAAGGATGAGAGGCGAAATCATCTAAGATAAGAAGACATCTATGAGGGTATGTCTTCCAATCGTAAGATTGCAATTTCTTCGAAATGTATTCTATCTCTTTCTGTTTGTTTCTGAAGTGTTTCTTCTCTAATATTCTCTGCATTTCCTCATTTGGGTCTTTAAACTTAGAATTTATATACTCATTTATAGCATTATACTTCAAAACTCTTCTTTGGTACTTCTTTATCCAATCTAACAACTCAGAGTCTTTTATACATACTAACTTAGACTTCTTTATAATATCTTTGAACGAATTGACGGTTTGGTCAAATTGACCAGAAGTACTACAAATGACAACTAACTCATAGAATGGGTTCTTCTCATCTAGTTCTTGTTGTTGTGCAGCCATTTTAAGATAAGTGAAAGTCTTACCCGACCCAGGTGGTGCAATTAGACCTGTTATACCATTCTGAGCAAATAAGAACTTGTCATGTATAGGCTTTATCTGAGCATTTTCTAACTTCCTCTTGTTCTTGTTTAAAACATTCTCAAATTTCTTGTCAATGTCAGCAAACTTTTTTTCTAACATATTTTTAGAAAAATTAAAATTTTTATCTTTTAGAAAATGTCTAGCGATTTCGCTATCTATATTCGAGACAAACTTTTCGACAGCAAAACATCTGTCGACCATAAAATCTTACATAGTGTAAACAAGAAAGGTGAATTTGTTCTAAAGTTCTGTTTCTGGGAATATGACAAGAACCATAAAACATTACAAAGAGCAGTCTTAAAATTTGTCAATGACAGACTTGTTGACAGAGATGACGCCGATTGGAAAGATGAAGTCCAACAAAAGTTCTTAGAATGCAAAGAAGACACATGCGCTGTTCTTGAAGATGAAATAGAAAACAGAATAGATGAGCTATTAAAGGACAAAGAACTTTTACATAAATATGGTTCGGAGAAATTTGACATAACTCCACCAGAGAAGAAGAAGAGAGAAAAGAAAGAAAAGAAAGAAAAGAAAGTAGAAGAAGAGAAGAAAGAACCTGAACCAGTTCCAGAGAAAAAGAAATTTGACATGTAAAAATAAAATTTTATTTTTAGAACATTTCTGGGTCAATGTCAATGTTCTCTTCCTCTTTAGGAGCAAACACTGGCTTAGACTCTAAAATCTTTTTACCCAATTTACCTTGAACTTCAACTATCTTAGACTCATAATATTCATAGTCGTCTGTCTTCTTTGGTTCATAAGGTATAACAAGTTTGTATGCTTTGCCTTCTTTAAGGTTTGAGAACCTTCTGTCAAAACTTTCTTTGACTGCTAACAAACCTTCTATGTCTAAGTCTTCAAATTTCGCACCATTTTTAGTCACAATAGCAAACTTAACTGGTTCGATGTTCCAAACTTTGCTGAATGAAGACTTTTCAAAATGGTAGAAGTAAACATTCAAATATGTGAATGGGTCTAGTTCTTCTTTAAGTCCTGACATGTACTTATTTACTGAGATGAATTTCGTCATCTTTTCTATCGGATAAAAAATATTTTTTTTAAAATTTACTCATAAAAAATTTTCTTTGTATATACACCATTCTGAACATCTAAAAGACTTTTGACATTTGCCAAGAATGTTCGTTTAGACGCTGTCATATAACCATATTCTTGACAATATTGTTTATACGAATCGTACAATGACCTTTCATCTAATGACACAAAGTCAGTTTCATCTATGAACAGTTCATATACACTCTTGTTTGCTTCTAACAATGTTTGTCTCTCTTCGGTATGTGGAATTTGTCTTGGATTGAACTTAGAAATATCTAATGTCATGAAATATGAGAACAAGTGGTTGTAAAAGTCAGATGTCAAACATTCTGACAAAGCGTCAAAATATTCTGTATCTTGCATATGAGAATCTGACGTTCTGACAACTACATATCTTCTGTCAGAACTTTCTAACTTCATCGGAACAGCATTGTTTGAAACCATAATGAAGTTTGCAACATTTTCACAAACTCTTTGGTCTTTATATTTTCTTTCAACAACTCCAACTTTGTCTGTTATAAGACTCTTCAAAGCATCTGAGTTCAAAACTTTTGTTGTATCTATACTTTGAAGTTCATTGCAAACTATAAGTTTCATATTCTCTATTGAGGAGTTAAACTTGCCACAGATGTTTTCTATGTTTGTCATATTCGGATTCGAATAACCTTCTAACAGTTTGCACAAAATATCTGTAAAGAATGTGTTCTTACCAGTTCCTTGTTTTCCAATTATAATGAGAGCAGTTTCATTTTTAGCACTTGGATGTTGTAAGATGTTTGCAAACCAACATAAGATATACTCATAGACTCTTTCGTTTCCATTGCATATAATTTCTTTGACATGGTCTAACCAAGCTTCTATAATATTTTCTTTCCATTCTACTTGTTCGTATTTATATCCAGTGAAGATAGAATAGAAGTTTGGAGAAGGTGTATAGAACTTTATACCTCGAACTGAAAAATCTTCTAACTTTGACAATAAGATATCCCAAGCATCTAACATCTTCATTCCAACTTGTACAACTTTTATTTTCTTAAGTTTCTGTCTACATTCTTGTTCAGACACTATTGTTGCTCTTGGTTTGTTAAAGACAACATCCCATTCTTTCATAACATAACATTCTGGGGCAGAGTCAACATAAATGACTAAACGTTTCAAATTCTCGACTGCTTTGTTATAGTCTCTAAATGGACACATATTTCTGAATGCTTGGAAGTCATAAAAATCTGAAACATCTATTCTGTACATTTTTATAAAAATAAAAAAAAATATTTTTTTTATTCTTGACTTTGTTGTTGCATTTGTTGCATTTGTTGTTCTTGAGCTATTTGTTGTTGAAGTTGTTCTTGTAATACAATACTTTCACCAGTTGCATCTTCCAATTCGAAACTTTCTGCCGTCATTGACAAATACATAGGACATAAAAGTTTTACAGGAACAAAGTTTGCGTCAACTAATGTCAACGTTATACTTGCCAAAGTGTTTGAGTTCACTAAGGTTGAAAATTCTGCATTCGAATGAACAATAGGCAAACCAGCAGAGAAAGTATTGTTTATACGCATAAGTATCTTTTGGTCATAATAGTTTCTGTCGATATTCGAATAGCACTTTGAACCTAAGTTTGAAACAATATATAAAATAGGTGTGCTTAAAGTCAATGGAATAGACATTCCTTGTATGACACCTTTTCCTGTTATAGGAAACTGTTGGTAGTAAAAACCAGATATAAGTTTTGTATTATAGCTCATATTGTTTATAGTAAACTCAGTCGGACATCCAAACATAATGAAACCTGCTCTAGTTGCAGCACATGTTACACCCGTCCTTAAAGTATTAAATAAGTCAACAAAACCTGTTGGTGGTATATCTGAGTAAGTATCTTCAAAGGAGTATTTTTTACCATTCACAACAATAAAGTCTTCTGGTGTCAAAAGAGCAAAACAGGCTTTAGTCGTCATTGTGTTTAAGGTTAGTTTACAATATCGTCCTTGAGGACTTTGTAAGTTTGTTGTTATAGAATTATATGACTCGGGGTTTTTAGTCGTAATAGTATAAACCATTATATCTTCTGCCATTTATATATATTTAAAAGTTTTTCTGAAAGTGGAGAAGAACTTCATCTAAACTTTCACATGGCGTTTCTTGAAGTTCTCTGTCTAAGAAGTTCAAATATTTTGTAAAGACATAGAACTTTCCTTTGTCTACACGAACAAACAAAACAGGGTCTTTCATATCGTTCAAAAGTGTGTAAAGTCCTTTACATGAAATAAAGTCTATATTATTTTTCTTCAAACATCTTTCAAGAAGTTTTGACATTTTTACTTAGCAAATAAATTTTAATGAAATGTTGTGGTCGTCAAATATTTTTATGACGTCTGGGAAACTATACTTTAAGTTCAACGTTTCACCTCCTTTCATAACGTATATCTTGTCAATGACATTATATGAAACACCACAGCAACTAATGTCGGGTTCTATTTCTTTGATGTTTATATCGTCTGCCTCTGTCAAAAGTTTCAATAGTTCTTTCAAAACTTCATGAGGTGCAATGACATATGAGTTCACTTTTACAGGGTTGTGTTCGACCAAGTTTAACATTATACCTAAAGCTTGACAAATCTTCTCCTGAGTTTGAAGTTTGTCTTTAAGTTGTTGGTAGTCGTTTCGAATATCTGCAACAGAACTTAAGTCTCTGTTAACTTCAGGATATGTTGGTTCTTTTACAGGAACAATTGTTATACCATCTTCGTCTTCGTATGGTTTCCCCACTTCAACATCTCTGTCTTTGACATTGACAATAACACTTTGACTGTTTGTTTGAGTTGGTGAATTTAACTTCACATCTGCCACCGCCATTAAACCTTTTGAAACACTTACGCTTCTATTTTTCGGAAATGACATTTTACTTAGAATAAAAAGATGGACGTATTCGGATATCTCTTCGAATTGAAGCAGAACAAAGTTTACACACACAAACAATACAAATACATTGACAGAATAGTTCTTTATACAAACAATGGTAAATGTTATAGAATAGCAATATTTGCTGAACCAAAATATTTCCATAAAGCAAAGAAAGTTGGTATAACTGAAATGGTGAAAGTTCTTGACGGTGACAAAAATATAACAACAAAACTTACAGATATTTCTAAAGGTAAGTTTATCTTACAATATTATGTCAAAACTGGCGTACTGTCAATATTTGACGGAGAGAAGTCAGTTCAAGAACAACTTACTGACCTGCTGCCAAAATCTGCTCGATGGAAGCTGTCGTTATGCCAATCTGAGGAGCCCCAGCAGGTTTCATCGAACGAATCTTCAAAAGAGCATCTTCCGTGAAAAGTGCTATTGGTTTTGTAAACTTCTTTGCTCTCAGTTCATCTGGACCGTCTCTGTCACCAGTATATTGTATTTGTACAGTACCAACAGTTGAAATACCACCCATAAAGTCTTCTGAGTCAGCAAATGGAATGCCAAGCCAAAAGTTTGAACGGTCTCCATTTGTATATTGAGTTTTTTGACCTCCTGTATGAGTCCATACTTTCACATATGGCATAATAGAACTTTGCATTTCAGGGTTTATGGTTGTTGTGAAGTTGTTGTTAAAGTTCATAGCATCTAATGTCAAGTTGTATGACCTCATATCCTCAACTGTAGAATATTCTTCTCTTGGATAATATTTGCCATCTATGTTTATATGATATTTAATACCGGGTTGTAGAAACAAGAATAGTCATTTATAGTTCGTCTGAACAGTACAAACATAGTATCTGCATGTTTCATTGCAGTTGTTAAAGCAATATCTGTTCTTGCACCTGGGTCAGCACTTTGGTTTCCAACTTCACCTGCAAAGTCTTTGACAGATATTTGGTGTATAGGGAACATAAGTGGAACTGCAATATATTTGGCAGCTAAAGCATTTGAAATATCTGGGTCCAACATATAGACTGCAAGTCTGCTTTCTATTCTCTTGCATTCAAACTTTTCGCATGTGAACTTAACTGGGTCCCAAGCAGTTCCAGCAGCATTGAAATAATAGTTTACTTCATTGTTGAAGTTTGAGAAACCAAAGTCTAAGTCAACTTTGTCTTTGCAAAAGTCACAGAACTTGGCTCCACCAGTTCCAGCTACAGTAATGCTGAATGGGTCTTGTGTTGGTGCAATGACTAAGTTATTTTTGCTTGGAGTAAGTTCAATAGAAATTTTTCCTGCCCAGTTTGGCAAGTATCTTAAAAACCTGAAGATGAGGAAAGATGACAAAGGAACTCTAAGTTTCAGTTTTACTTTAGTGGCAGCATTTCCATCTGAACCAGAAAGGTTAACATAAACTCCTGGAACGTTAGGGTCAAGTCTTCTTATTTTCTCAATATTTGCATACTGGTCTGTTTGTTCTCTAGCTTGTGGTTGTACTGAGTTTCTCAAAGCGAACCATTCATAGTTTGCCCATGTTACTGTTTGAACTAAGTCAGAGTTAGAATATATCTTATATCCCATGAAAACTTCTGGAGCATATTGGTATCGACATAGAAAATTCCATTGCAACCTTTCTTGTCAGACAACTTGGCAGAAGGTTTTATTTCAATGTCTTGTTCCACGTATAAGAATGAGTTGTCAATAGAAATAATATGAAACCTGTCGCAAGCAATATCTACTGTTGTTGAAGAACCTTCTCCAAACTCACCTACGTTTCCATAAGAAACAGCAGTTGTATATTCGTAAGTTCCAGGAACTATTTCTGACCTTCTAATGGCATTGTCGCATTCGTTATACCATTCGGAAACATTTCCGTTCATGGCATCCAAAACTGTTGGCGTTATATTCTGAGCGGCGTACATTTCATATGGGTAAAAATATAGAATAGTTGGATTTATATATCATAATAGAACCCACTCGTACCAAGCTTTACTTTCTTCCTGACTGAGTTTTTAACTCTTCTTTTTCCTTCATTGCCACTACTTTCACTAGATGAAGTTACTTCTTCACTACTTTCACTTTGTTCTACTCTTCTTCTTTTGGTGTCGCTTTTGGTAACTTGCCCTCTGCTTCAAGTTGTTGCATCTTTGCCTCATGTTCACCTAGTATGTTGTAAATTTCCCATGTCCTTTTTGCCTTTGGGCTCTGGTCGCCCAACTCAGGTAACCTATATCCTAGAAAGATTTTGTCATAGTTTGTATTTGAGTCTTCGCGTATTGTTTGCATGACTCTTTCCTGAGTTTCCGGTTCAAGCTCTTCAAACAGAGCTTGTCCATATGGAATAAGCTCGTTTCCAAATATATGTTTTTGTAGCCATTCTGGTTTTCTTTCCATGTTACCAATAATATCTTTTGTGAATGGGAAAGCTTTTACCCAATGTTTCAGTCTTGCGTCATTTATTTCTGTAGTTTCCAAAGGAGGACTTGTTTGTTTCCTTCAGGCTCTTCTAGCTGTTGTTGCTGAACTATTTCTTCCATGTCTGGTTGTATCTGAACTTCTTCCTGTGGAGTTTCTTGTACCTCATCTGCTGGCATTTCATATATTCCGAGACCGTTTTTAAAAAGTTCCCTATCTAAGTCATCCGGACTCATAAACCTTTCTTCTTTCGTTCCGTCTCTATTTTTTACGCGTTTCATGAAGAGAGTTGAATTATCATTTAGCTCTGACACCAAATATCTCGGAGTAAATTCAGTCATGTCATTTGGATGATATGCTATTAAATCATATCCCTTAGCGAGCTTGTATTTTCCAGGTTTGAAATTATATCCGATTTTATGCTGAACCATAAAGCTAAATAGGTTCGGGTCAGTATTTCCTTCCTTGAACTTTCTAATAGCTTCTTTATATCTGTCACTAAAGTCAAGAGTATCTGGGTAACCATAGTCTTCCTTAAGCATTTTTAAGAATTCTTGGTTTCCTTGTTCTCTACTTCTTTTATGTCCTTGCTCTGTTTGTGGTTGTTGCTGTGCAGTGTTTTGAACTGTTGGTTGTGTGTAGTGTTTTGAACTGTTGGTTGTGGTGCAGTGTTTTGAACTGTTGGTTGTGGTGTAGTGTTTTGAACTGTTGGTTGTTGTGTTGGTTGTTGTGTTGGTTTTGGTGCATGCCTGTGTCTGTGTCCATGTGACGATGTAAATGTTTTAGGTAGTCCTGGTGCAGGTGCTTCTCTTGGAGGGTTTGGTGGTATATAAGTTCCACTAGCTAGTATATAAGTTCCACCAGCTGGTATATAAGTTCCACCAGCTGGCACATATGTTCCATCTGCAGCATAATGTCCTACCTGACTTTTCGTTCTTAAGAAAGCATTTACTAGGTCTGTTTTGGTCTGTTGTAACTCTTTTTCTTGACTTTCCACAACAGTTGCTCTAACGGCGTCATAGGCACTTTGAACTGCCTGTCTCGTTGCTGCATCTGTTATTTTCGTCATATTTTGTGCTACTTCTCTTAACTCGTTGTCGAAACCTTCAGACTTCAGTTTCTTTCCAGATGAGAAGTCGTTCACTAGTTTCACCTTACTATGAAGAGCTTCGAAGGCGTTCTTAAAGTCAGCATTCATTAAAGCTTCATTTGAACTGTCTTCATCCGCTTGTATTTTTGTCCTTATTGACCCTATAAGTTGGGCTGCTTTAGCGTTGGCTTGGGCATCTAACCAGTCATTATTAGCTTTTATATATTCTGCGCTTTTCATTGCCTTTTGCATGGCTGCGTCGTTATTTTTACTTTCTTGTGCTAAGTTTTCATACTGTACGGTTTGGTTTTGCAACTGTAAAAGTTTTTCTGCCTTTACATTTGCTTCAACTTCTTTTTTATACTCATCGCTATCCATATATGTCTTCAGGGCTTTTTGTTTTATTTCTTCATCTTTCAGTACTTTATATTGAGTAGTATGGTTTTTCAAATTTATAACATCTTGTTCCATTTTTGCTACTTCTGCTGCTTTTTCTGACACTTTTTTCGCATATTCCTCTGTACTTAGTTCTTTCAGTTGTTCTTCTTTCTTCTTTTTCTCTACGTTTAACTCATTGAGTTTCTTTGTGTGTCTGTCATATTCTAGTTTCTTTTCGTTTTCACTTATTTGTTTCTGTATGTCTATGTTTGACTTTTTGACATCTGTTATTTGATTTTTGAGTGAACTCAAATTCATTTGACTTTGAGGGTTATAAGCTGTTCCGTCTGCAGCTCCACCATAGCCTGCCATTTTCGCTAAAAGTGCCGCTCTTAAACCTCCACTCTGTGCACCAATAACTCGGTTTAAAAGCATAGGGTTGCTTGACATTTGTTGCAACATAGTGGGGTCATTCATCATTTGTTGTTGCAACTGTTGTTGTGGTGTCAGTTTTACTATTGGATGTTTCAATGCTCCCTTCCTCTTACGTATATTCTTACGTAGCTTACGTGGCATTTTAAGTGAAGTTAAAAAGCGGTTTTTGACAGATGTTTATATGACACTTTTTGTTCAGCACAAAAAACTACTCGGTCAAAGTGTTGTCGGTTTTGTAAAATAACCGTCTTATCTCATTCTATAAGGGAGAAAAGGCTTCTCAAAGTATACTTCCTTGGAACGCCTGTAACTTTTCCTGTAGCGACGATAGACCCTTACTTGTCCGGACAAAGTTATACTATTTTGAGTGCTCTACAAAAAAGTCAACGGCGACGACTCTCAAAAACCGTTGTGTAAAAAGTTTTACCGTTGGACAAAAAAGTATATATAGAAAACAAAAAACGTTTATAGTTCATTCAATATTTGAGATGGAACGGTTTTCCAACGGTAACTATTAAATAAAATAAAAAATAGAAGGGGTCTCCGTTGACGAAAACGGTTTATTTTAAACTTTTCTATGAGTTGTCCGAAAAAAAACAGTTCATTTTTCATAATGGAAGGAAGAAAAAGTGTCGCAAACAATTCGTCGACTACCTCTGCAGTTAAAGTTCCTACAACTTATGTCTCACCATTCTCAAAACCCTTACGACCTCCTATAATACCAAAGCAACTTCCTCATACAATTCAAGACAAATTGTTGGACAATATGCATTTGCACAAAGAAACAGCTCAGCCAACAGGTCAGGCAACAACAACTATCGGAACAGAAGCATTTTCAGAAGAAGTTCATACCAATCAGACTCCAATCGAACATACAGAAACACAACCACCCGAAAATACAGAAACACATTCTGCAATGACCACTAGATCGCAAACACGATATCTCGCCTTTAGCAAACAATTTAAGTCTCAAATTCAAGACACACAAGATAGCGACACTCCTCTTTCAGAGAAAGTTCGTAGAAAATACGCAAAGAAAAGGTTAGAATTGTTAGATAAGTTAAATGAACAGTGGGGTTCAGAAGACAATCGAGATTATAACGAGATGTTTCAAGCTGTCATGGATGCCATTCAGCCTCTTGAAAACGAAATCAAAGACCCTGGCGTACTTGTTGACATGTTTGCTTCATATTTACCCGTTACTGCCAATCTCATAGCGTTGCAAGCTATTGACCAGTTCATTCACTTGTTTCCAAAGAACTTGCAGAAGCATTTACAAGAAGTTAAAATTGCTGAATTTGTCCGTATATATCCAAATTCATACAATTATTTGGAAGAATTGAATGAACATGGTGAACCTATATTATATTCTTTTCAAAGATTCTTGCAAATCATCAAAAATAATTGTATTTTAAAAAACGATCAAATTATCCTTTCATTATTTTAAACTTAAATTAGTTTTTATGATTGACTAAAGCAATCATATTTATTCATCATTAAATAAACAAAAAAATAATATTTGAGAGTTGTTTCAAAAAAAACACATTGAATTTATTAATTTGTCTCAATTTCAGTATTATAAATTTTTATAATTTCAATATTTTGAAATACACTTTTTAATATTTCAATATTTATGATATTTCAATGTATTAAGTGGTCTCAAATTGAGCTTCTCAAATATAAGTTGGCCTATTCAAATAATAAAATTAAATAATATTTAAAATAATAAATAAAAGTGATTGAGGTCATAGCAAAACGGCTGTTTCAGTCATTAATTCTTAAAAATAAAAAGGGTAAAAACTAAATACAATGGGTAAAATTCAATAGTGTCTGTGCTATCGTTCAATTTGAAGGTGTCTTTTGAAACCGCAAGACACATTGAATTTTTGAATAGTGTATTATGGTTTGACAGACACCAATGAAAAAATAAAATGATATTTGTTTTAAATATATAAGATCCTTATATAAAATATAAATATTTTATCGTTTTATTTTCTTGTTTTAGAAATGTTTTTTATTGAAAAATCAATAAAACTAACTCCAAAATTAAATTTTTGATTTAAAGACACTATGATGACACCAGGCAAATCTTCCAAGACACCTATCGTCGGGAATCTAACAACCCTAGCGAAAAGTTTCATCGTTTCTTTGTTATTCGTATCAATTCCGAACTTATCAAAAAAAGCTTTTTGAGCAAGAAATTGCTTTCCACCGTTTTTAATATAAAGTTCGATCCATTTTTGATAAAATTTACTCGCGTAATGTGAACCCATTTCAACTCCTATATGATGGCAATGTTCTTCATTAACTTTGCTTATAGTAAACACTCCATTTTGTTCTTCAACCCTAAATTTTGCCTTGCATAGGGGATACGAACATGAATAAGTGACATATTGCTTTGGAGATCCCGTTCTTCTTCTGTATGGGACACCGCCCTTGACTTCCTGTTTAATACCAAAAGCAATAAGCTCCTCTAAGTCCACCGAAATCATAAAAATGAAGTGATTTTGAAAAGAGTTAACAAAATTCAAATCACATCAAAAACAAAAACACATAAAAATATTTTATTATACTCATTCGAAATTAAAAATAATAAAATTTATATATATTAATTTCATTAAATCAAGGTTAAAAATCTCACCGGAAAAATAACCTCAGTGTGATAAATTTATCACTGGAAAAATTTACAATAAGGTTAATACCGAAAATATCGAACAATCAACATTTAAGGTTAATTTAAGAGTATGCACTTTTGTCACCTACTCATGGAGAATTACCTAAAACAATGATAAATTTGAGAAGAAACAGAATGTAATGAAAAAATGATGAGTATGAAAAGAATAATAATTCCATTCAACATTGATGAATGTGAAAATAAATAAAATTGAATAAAAAAATGATGAAAATGAATGGAAAGATAATGTCATAAAACAAAGATAAAAATTAAACTAGATAGAATATTATATAACAATGAAGAATATGAAAAGAAATAGAATATAATAAAATAGTGATGAATATTAAAAGAATGAGGAAAAGAATTTTGTTAACATCAGCGCCATATTCAACCAAACATTTAACAATTTCAAGCGATCCTGCTTCGATTGCAACAGATAGAGGGCATTCATTACTATTAAGAGAATTTGATTAAGGGTGCACACGAGAGGATCATGTAAACTTCAGAATTTAGAACCTTATTTTTAGGCATTATCTTGGCTACCTATTTAGGCTCGAAAAGCAAAAAATATCAAAAAATACAACTTGACTCCATTATGACCCTTTCATGGAGGTAGTTTTTATCCGCTAGTATTTTCCCTTTGAATCTCTTTACAATTCGAAATCAAATTCAAAACTCAGTAGAAGAAAGGAAGAATCGACTTACTACGGTTGTAATACGAATAAATACATATATTTAATTATTTTTATTTACATAATAATTGTTTGAAGCTCATATTCCATCAAATTTTTAAATAAAAACATTAAAATGTTGAAAATGTTTATATATTTTAATAGGGTTTTGGCACTTTATTGAGGAATTACTACATACATAGTCGAACTGAACTTGATATTTTGAAATTTAAATTATTTATCAAAATTAAAATTTAACTTGAAATTTATAATTATTTAGTCATATTTTGCATAATTCTAAGTAGATTTTGTAAAAAATCAAGAAAGAAAAATTTTAACGTGCTTTATTTTTTCTTTTAAAAAAAAAAAAGGTAGTGGGGCTTCCAGGCACTTCGTGCCTTCTAGCCCTGATGTTGATGTTTAGTATAAATGAAGTTTTTATTCGGAGGACTCTTCTTCTTCCTCCATTGCTTCTGGGAAGAAGCCTTCTTCTGGGTCGAAAACATTATATAATGTGTCGCTTTTCACAAATTATATATGTTTTCATGTTTTGTCACTTTTCTGTCACTTTTCAGGGAAAAACATTTTTATTATTATATATAAATGAATTTTACAAAACCACCGTTACCGTTCTTTGGAAATAAGAGTAGATGTAAAGATATTATATTGAGAGAACTTAAGAAACTACCGAATGGTCTAACATTTGTAGATTTGTTCGGTGGAAGTTTCTATATATCCCATTTGTGTCATATAATATTCCCAGACTCAAAGATTATATGCAATGACTTCGACAACTATATGGACCGTCTCAAACATATTCCAGACACAAACAATATATTGAAAGAGTTAAAAGAAAAGATACCTATAGGTAAGATGGAACGTATACCATTAGATAACAAAAATATTGTGAGAGAGGTTTTGAAAAAAGCAGAATATATAGACTGGGATAGTATATCTGCTAGACTATTATATAGTGGTTCTATAAGAGTTCATGACATTGAAACACTTATGTCAAAAGTTTTATATCTTAACTATACAAATGTTTTCAAAGAGGACATAGAAAAATATATTGAGGGTATAGAGTTTGTGAGATGTCATTGGACAGATTTGTATGAAAAATATAAAGACAAGGAAAATGTTTTCTTTATAGTGGACCCGCCGTTCTATAACACATGGGATTTTCAATACCAAGTAGACTGGACTTTGAGAGACTCTTTAGAAACTTTAGACGTTTTACATAACCATCCATGCTTTTACTTTACATCCGATAAAAGTGGTTTGGAAACCGTTATGAGATGGTTAGAGGACATACATGACTATGAGTTTATATATGACAAGATAGAATATGAGAGAGGTCCTATAAACTGGAGAAAGTGTCACAATAAAGAAATTTTATTAGTAAGTAAATGTGGTTTGAAATAGGACTACTTGTTTTAGGTTTTTTCCATTGTGTCATTTATTTCTTTGACGTGGCAGAAAAGTACAGAGAATATGAAGATGAACCAATGCCTGCAAATGTTCAGTATATGTACTCGTAAGAGATATTTTTATCTAATATTAAATGGACGCACAGAACTTAGCGAATGCACAGCAACCTGGACAACCAAACCCAGAGAATATTCCAAATGAAGTTAGAATACAAACTGCAATGGCAAACTATGGTCAAGTGCCAACAGATGTACAAATGCAAACTGCCATGTCAAATGACGCTGCGTTAGGTTTGCCACCATGGTATGCAAATATGAGATGGAAAGAGTTTTATACAAACCCTGAAGTGGGATATAAACAACTTTATGCAGATGACGCGAACACAGGAGTTGACCCAGAATATGTTTTCTACCAGAGGAGAAACAGAATGTATGAGCTCCAGTTAAAGAATGCTATGGAACTCAACAGGAAACGTAAGAGACTAGGTGGACATTAGATTTTTACATATAGTAAAATGGGTTTCTTCAGTAAGATAGGAAACTTCTTTCGAAATGTTGGAAGAGGTATATGGAATGGAATAAAAACCGTAGGAAGAGGAATTTGGAACGGAGTCAAAAATATTGGTAAAAGGGTAGGTCAGTTCGTTGGTATTATACCTAAAGACCCTGAACCAGAAGAACAAGCTCCTGTTATACAACAACCTGAACCTGCACCACAGTCTAGTTGGCAACCAAATCCAACACCTCAACCGTATTAAAAAATTATATTTTTACCGTTCGATAGTAGTTGTATATGAAACTAAGTTCTAAGTAAAACGCATGGTATAATGGAATTATTCTTTTTCTTCCATCTGTAGTAAACCATACTTGAAAGTCTGAAATACTTCCACTTGGTGGTTCGTATAACTTTGTAGGTTTTTCGTAAAAGTCATTTGCCAAGCATAAGAAAGAGTTTTGGGCGCCAGAAAATGAAGCATGAACAATAATAGCAGCTGGTCGAAAACATCTTTAAATAAATATGGTTCATCTCTTGCATATCGACTGTAAATATTTGCTAAAGGAAGTTCGACTTTCTGATTTAACATTCTTTGCAAATAATACCATGACATTGCAGTGAATTCTGTATATATTTGTTCGTCTTTCTTTGGATTGTCTTCGTAGATTTGAAATGACACTTGTGAATTTTGTTTGTCATATACAATTCTCACATAAAGTGTGCTCTCGGTATTTGCATATTCATCAGCATATTTTGCATAACATGAATTTATTTTATCTTCTATATTTTTTAACGCAGTCTGTAGAGAAGATGAAAGGTCAACTTGTATTAGCTCAATTTCTTCCCACATTTTTCGTTTCCCTTCAGATATATAATCTATATGAAACCTTACAATAATGGAAAACTTTTATCTTCTACAGACACAAACTTCATTCTACGAAAGCCAATAGCTTTTGTGACAGATGGGTCTCTTAGCCATCTTAATGGGTAGTCAAAACGATAGCCTTCATGCTTTACGGTCTCTGTCTCAAACTTTTGACCGACATTAGTAAAAAGTTCATCTAATGGTTTAGTTGTAGCAACTCTTGAATTTTCTTTTTCTATTGGAAGCATATTTTATCTAGAATAAAAATGTCAAATGAAACAGCGTCTATGAGAGAAATACAACACAACCGACAA